AATGAATGACCTCTCCTTTTCTCATCACCTTCTGTACTGCCCTCTTTTATTAAAAACAACTATGTACAAGTAAGGTAACTTCAGTTATATCCCCATATTTCTCCTCATGGCTGAGTTGCTAGAAAACTATGGCAGATGGACAAATTGCCTAAACATTCCATTAAGCTTTTCTCTACATATCCAGTTGCCCTGCTGCTGGAGATAAAAGGTTCTCCAAGATTAACCACTCTGAATTTTAGCTGATTGATTTATGATGCTTGAAAGAGGCTGAACCTCCTTCCTCATGCAGATAATCCTTACTCTTCAACTGGTTAGATTTTGCAGAGCAACTGCATCTAATGCAAAATCAGATTTCATTTCTGTATCTCTCTCAGGTCAGACCTACCCACAATGTACTGTAAAATTCTCCCTTAACACAGTACTTTTGCTCAGTGTTTTTCTCTCCAAAGTAAACATTTCTAAATTGAGAGCAGCCATCAACCCTGCACAGTAAGGTTAAAATAGCAGCTTTTTAATTTTTTTACCTGCCCCAGTGTGACTTGTGCATGTGCTACTTTGTCACAAGCTTGTGCACTCAGCTGAGCTCAGGTGTGTAAGAACACAAGGAGCATCTGTGCTTCTGTAAAAAAAACCCCAAAAGCACAGGGCAACACAGCTTAATCTGGGGATCACAACTTGTCCTTGTAAGCACAACACAACCCAAACAGAATCTTTGGGGAAAACTACCCAAGCACAGTATTATTCACTGTTACACTCTTGTGTCTGTTCAGTTGTTCTAGTACTTCCACTGAAATATTCTGTGGTGGTTCTCAAAAGCAATTACTGGACCCTTAATACAGCAGCTGAAATCGAGGCTATAACGTTCAGCACAGAGGAAAATGTTTGGTAGTTTAATATATTCTTAAGTTATATTTTTATCATGGTTCTTTTATCCCCTTGCAGTTAGGTGTACTGAATAAAACCAAGGATTAAATTATCTGCATCAGTACTCTACCCTTCCTGCTGATGCCCTAGCTCCCTAAGCTGATAAAACTGACAAATGAAATCTCTGTTAGGTGTGATGATAACCAACTCATTTCATCTCTGCTAGTGGTGAAATCATAGCAGGTTGAGACCTTGTGTAGGTAGAGTTGTTGGCTTTCTCCTAATCATGAGCTGACTATGAAAAAAGAAGAAACCAGAGTCTGGTTGAAGGGAGAAGAGGGCACCTGTAAGAAGAACTTTCTAGATGAAAGAACCTAAGTAACAATGTGGACATGCACTGCCATTTAGAGCATGGAGAATTCATTTCTCCTTATTGTATGAAGTGTATCCTATTTTCACATGCCAATAACCATGCTCTTCACAACAGCAGTTGTTCCCAAAACCCTTGCAAGTGGGAGCCAAGAACTTCCCAACCATCTCGGCACCGTCAATCGCCACCCTGTACCTTGTGTGTGTGGCCAGAATGTGTGAACAGCACGTGGCTCAAGAGCCACAGGGTGGCAGGTACCAAGTTATGGCTGGGTAGTTGAAGTGATTGCACTGGCCACTCACACTCTAAGTAAAGCACAGCTCCTGCTGTTCCATGGTCCTTCTGCAGCCAGATGTTTCCGGCTTGCCCAAAGGTACACGTGTAAAAGCTGATATGCCTTGAGAAAGCAAACCAGATTTTGCTCTCTCGTCCCCTTTATAAAACAGAACAATCCTGCAGTTCACAGAACACGAAAGTCTCTTGACCTACAAAGCCATGTGCTTTTCCTGGCCCACCCACCTGGGTAGAGCTGAAAGTTATGTATTGTGTGCTGTTCAATACCTTGCTTTGGAACTGACATGGTTAGTACTTTTTTTTTTTTAGCTTGCCTAAGAATACTAAATTTGTATTTGTTAGTGACCTGGGTGTTTTTATAATCATGCTTTTTACTACCTCAGATTACATTAGCATTGTAGCACCAAAAAGAAATTTTTTTGTTCATTTTTCTTTAAAAAAAAAAAAGTAACCTTTTAAAGCAATAAAATTTTAAACCTCATTTCTGTTTTACCCTCAGCTGTATCCAAGGATTAAACCTAGACAAAGAAGCTTGGCATGAAATAGTACAGCAGCCAGATTCTTCAAGTACTAATCATGGATGACTTACGAAAAAAAACCTCATTTTGTGTTGGTTCCAATATCATGAGACTTATTTCAATGACAATGTAATTTGAAAGCTATGAAGAATGTGCTTTGAAAACAAATGAAGGATTGATGCATTAGCAAATGGATGAGGGCATTGTACAAGATGAAATAATGCTTGCAAGCAAATGAAATTCTGCTGCCTTCGGTCGAAGCGAGCCATTATGTTCAAGTACCCACTTGGGTTTCTTCAAACATGGCAGAAGAGAATTTCACATTTTTTTTTCTGTATTAAGTACAAGGACCTTTTCAATTTACCATTGAAGGAATCATCATGAAACAGACAACTTGGCTTTGTCCAAAATTTATCCCAAGGCTTTTTCCAGATGGGAGAAATTAAAGTAAGTGCACAGCACCCAACTGCTCATTGCTGGAAGCAGAATGTTTGTTAAAGAAGCTAAACTGAAGTGCATCTGAACAGTCACACCCACCTGACTGATCCATTAAGCAATAACTTTTAAAAAAGCTGTAGCAACTTTAGAGGTTCTATGTATTCGAAACATTATGTGCTGTAACAGACAATGTAGTTTTAGATTCCTCTTTTTACAAAGAGTCTCATGTATTTATTGTATTTTGTACTTTGAAGACTAAAAGTAGAAACTTTCTGTAGTCCTTGACAACTTACTTGTTTTTACTCCACTGTGATACCATTAAACTTCTGTCTCCTCTTCAGCTTTAACTCTGGGTATTTTAATGGCAATTTTTATTAGACCATCTGAAAATGTTACCAGTACAAAACAGTGCTGTTCTACATTACACTACTATTCAACTACTTTCTGTACTAAATTGAACCCCTACTCCCCCATCCATTCAGGATAGTCTTTTGCATTTAAAATTGAGTTGAATCTGTTAGTTGCACGTAACCTTTGTTTCTCTTAAAAGCTAAGGGACATACTTACGAAAAAAGATTTGGTACAGGTGTTTTCCAAATAAAGCCTTTCCTATGGAACTATCCTTTTATATCTCTCTATTTGGGAATAATTTGGTAATGAACACTATTTAACAGAGGATCAAATATTTCCTTAAAGGGTATTTATGAAGTGCCTCACCCTGCAGGCCTCATGTTTTCCTACTAGGTAAGTCCTTACTGCTTTCTGAAAAGGTGCCTGTAAGTACAAGAAGTGGTTTATAAGAAGGAGGACACAGTTCCTCAGGGCAAAACTTAAGTCATCAGCAGTCTGTGCCTGATCACAGCCTCAGGGTGTTAATAGGCTGGGGAGGGGGTATATAGTATCAATTACCTATCTAGAAAACTTTAGTTTTTCAAGCACTAATCTTTTTAAAGTCTCAGACTGTAACACTTCATTAATTGACACACATCCAGAATCAGCTCCAGCATGCTGTTTTTCCCCTTTAAAAGGCAACAAGCAAGCTCTGTTCCTGAAAGCAAATGCTCTGTGCATGTGCTGCAATGATCTATATCTAAGAAAAAAAAAAGGTGCTTAGCTGCAGCAGAAATAAGTCTTGCAAACTTTATTTATACTCTTTTTATTTAAATACTTTCTTGTATTTCAAAGGAAGATAAATAAGATACAGGAACTCAAGATTCCACCTCAGAGGATGGGCTTTCTCTTGGAACAATCTTGTTGCCAACAGCCTCCTGCTCCAGGCACATCAGTGGTCAGAAGGGAAAGAATTGTCTTTTCATTTGGTCAAACCTGTACTTGCTCTTCAAATTCTTCAAAGGATATTTAACCAGAATAATGCTGGGGCTTGACAGAAGGCATACAAGGGACCCTCTGTCTCTGATTACAGGTGTTTTAGGTAAGATATGCAATACTATCCCTTTTCTAATTTCAGATTTGGAGGATGGCATGGAGCTGTTATTCAAAAAGCACTTATTAAACCACTGTCAAGCTATAATGAGCTTTCTTCCTGTAGGAGTCCTGTAAAACACCTTAAACAAACACAAAGATATTAGCAAAGCAGTATTTTCAGAAGTTGCACTGAGGATTAATACTAAATTAAGGCCCTTGTCCAGAGGGTATATAATCGTAGATAAAGACTGTCAGACCCATAGAAATGAGGTTCCAAATTCTTCAGTTGAAGTAGAATGTTTTCCTTCTTGCAATAGCGTGCAAAATTTGCTATGTGTAAGTTAAGGCACATTTATGTTAGGATATTACTTGTATGTAGCTTGATTATCTTCACCTGATCATGCTCTTTTGGAGGTCTCAAGCTGATGCCAGTGGCTCAAATGACAGTAAAGCACAGCCACTGGAACAAGAAAAAAAGGGCCCAAGGTTAAATTTAGTAAAAAGACTTTTAGCAAGTACGCATATTACCCTTTCTACAATAAAGTCAGCCTGTTGTTACAGAAGTAATTTTAGGATCTTTCCTGACTGATTTAAATTTATATCTCATTTAGGTCAAAAGAGTTTTGGGATGATTTGCACATTTCCTCCTTGAGTTGCAGAAGTAAGTTATGTTCAGGTCATAAGCAAGTCAAACACAAGTAGGAGGGTACTTTTCTCTAAACTTAGTCCTTTCTGCAGGGCACACAGGGTGCAGAAAGAAGCAGACAGGGACAAGACCATGAGTCACTACTGCACCTACATTTTACTCTGACAACAGAAAAAGCAAGGAAGAAGCCAAAATTACAGCCAGTACAGGGATAAGAGGCTTCTGGTCTGTCTGTCAGAGAATATATTGTGATGAAGGTCCACTTTTAGAAGGCAAAAACTTTCTTAAGGCTGCTTACAAATACTCAAGCCAGATAATTCAGCGTAAGTGTGAATACATATAACCAGCCACAGTCAATCAAAATGGAGCAGGACAGACTCTACATCCCTCCCTCCCTTCCCCCAAAAGAGGAAAACAAACGTTTTTGAGCTAAATGAACTTACATTAACAAGGTTCAACTCTATTGTTCCAGTTTTCTCAGTATCCAGTTTTTTAAACATTTCTGTGGTGGGAAGGAGATGACAGACAAGGGTGAATACAGGAACTAACTGGAAAGCCTTCCCCTTCCTTGTGCTTCAGGATTGAAAGGGAATTTAATCCCAGAATCTAAAACTTCACACTGACCTACAGAAAGGCCCAATCATTGTGGAAACCCAAGACTGAACATTTTTAACAGCTCTCTAATATTCTTTAATCAACATACCACTGTTTGCATGAAAGACTGGCTGTGGTTCAGCAGCCTGGCCTAAAAGGCTGATTCCTAGATCTAGGAGAAGCACGCAAAGTGGGTGGCCAGATTTATATCTCAGTTTTGAATTTATCTGGATGGATACCTTATCCTGGACTTCTGGACAGTTATCCTGCTGCAAACACAAAGTAACAGAGTCTGGCCAGTTATCAAGCGTGTACTCACTGAACAAGGTTTCGAGCCGAATCAAACACCGGACAAAGTTATCAAAGTCAATGATGAGATCTTCGTCAGCAAAACGAGCCACAATGATCTGATGTAACTGGCAGTTCAGTTTGAACCCTAAAAATACAACGTTGAGGATTTAAAAAAAGAGAAAGAAAAAATTGCAAACCCCTCCACCTAACAAAAAAAACCCCCAAACAACCTTACACACTACCAGAAATTCAATTAACCTCTTTTGGTTAAATTCACAAATTTTAAGAGTATTTACTTTCATTTTTAAAACTCCCAACAACCCCTTCTGTTCTTAGAGTGATTTAGAGCTGTGAGTAGGCCACGTGTTCTTCCTGCTGTGTGTGTGCTCCCTGAGACCTGAGATGAAGCAGTGGCTTTCTGTGGGCAAATGGGTCTCTCTTTCCACAGAGTGTCTAAACATTGGTACAAACTGAAATGCTGCCTCATCTTACAGAGTGACAAGAGGGGAAAATTCCAGAGTGACCAAAAGTGGACAATAGGATGGCCCCACATGACCAGTAAGTTAATTTGGGATCGTATGGGTCAATGATATCTCCCTCGTAACTCAGATTTGATTTTTTCAGTGTTTGCAGGAGAAAACTGCCACTCCTACCACTGCTGTGAGCATAACTCCTTGGTCAAGCCCCTTCCCTTCCCTAGTTGGGGGAGTAGAACATATCCCAGTTCTACCAGGTTGTGCCAAACCCACGTATACCCAGAGAGACTCACTGAAGGACAAAAGTACGCTGTTACAAGACCAGACTGTTGCAGTTATATGTGCTTTTCCAAAAGTTGATCACTAAAGAAAATAACTGCAAACCTGTCACCACTTTGAGATGCTCTTAGTGAGCCTGCCTGGCAAGACAAGAGCCCAAGCTGAGCATCTGAATCACGTGGAGGCCTTCAGGTCTGGGAACACAGGATGTTTCATCTTACAAGTGATGTACAGGAGACTAGAGAGCATCTATCAACCCAGCTTGAAACTGATATAATCCTATAAAGGGACAGATCAATATAAATACCTGCTGCTTCCAGCGCCCTCCTCATCTCGTACGAGTTCATGGTACCGGATCGATCCACATCAATTTCCCTGTAAATTTTCTGCAAAACACAAAACCCAAAGTCAAACCTTGACAATAATTCAGAGTGTTGTTTGGCTTTTGTCGGAAGTGAAACATTTTGAAATGCAGCCTGTGTGTAACTCAGGAGCATTTGCAATGTTGGTCTGAAGGACTTGGTGCTTGTGTCGATTTCATCTAAAAGCAGCTTTAGAAAGCAAGTCCTTTACTCTGGAGAATTCCTTGAACACCCATGGCACTATCACTACCAAAGTGGAAAGGCTGACACCAAACTCCCACTGTTATGTAGGCAAGTTAAATATTTGGATGAGAGTTAAAAACGGAAAGCCCTCCCAGAGTAAGGCAGGAAGAGAAGCAGCCTCTCCTTCAGCCCTTCACCCCAGCACCTGAAGGACTCCAAGGGACAAAACCTGAGGGACTGAGGACACACAACCCCTGCTTTAGGAAAGGAGATGTGTACACTGTATGAGGCAAATCAATCTAAAGCCACCTCTACATGTTTCTCATTAAGAGGTTGCATCTTACCTGGTATTTCTGAATCTTTGTCCAAAGGGTGTAGAACTCCTTCAGTCCCAGTTTACCACTCCCATCATTCTTCTCTGAGTTAAGGGAATTTTTTTGGAGGGAAGAAAAAGGGGTTTTCTCTCCCTGTGCCAGATTTACTTACAACTTTAAGTTGTGACTTAAAAAACTCTGTCTGAATCAGTAAGCTGATTAATTTAAACGGTGATCAGTTCACGAGATCTTTCTGCTCCCCTTTGCAGCTGTCTTTCCTCTACAAGAATAAAAGAGCTGAGATGATGCCATTTTATTCTGTGTAGTTGGTTCAACAGCTGCAGTTAAAGGAGCATAAGTCCTAAGTCTGGATTATAAACAGGAAAAGCCACAACCAAGCCTGCTATTTGCAGAACTTAAGTTCTTGTGCAAACAGCTAACAAAAGAACCTGGTCATGGCATTGCTCCCAAAATCTGCTAAGGAGTTCCTATGGACTGCCATATTTTACACCAAATTATAGCAGAGCATTACCTTGTGTTGGTAATTTTCCCTTTTTCTAACTCTGCAATTCAACTCCCGCTGCACAGAGAAGCTGCACACAACTATTCTTAGACTTGAACCTTCATCCTACACTTTTTCCCATATTCTGAGGAATAAAAGCTCCTGATATCCTGTGTACTCTCCACTTCCATTAGTTTCCATCATTTTCCATTTGCTAGGTCCTTGTGGCTTTATAATGCACTCACCAACTCCAGCCAGATAACAGAGAGGTGAAGTGCACCCAGATGTGCACATACAACTCTACAGCCAAGGCCATCCACTCCATGCTGAGAGCCAGATGCCTTTTCCCAAACCACAAACACCACTTTGCCCCAGCTAAACCAGAACACAACAGCTGGGAAGGCTTCAAAGCAGATCATAACATCTGATAATGGATTTTCCTGGCTGCCTGGGAGAATGCACGTGCCATGGTGAGCAGTGATAGCAAGGGCCTGGTTTTTCAGGGGAACCAGGGTATAACCAGCTTCTCCATCTCAGGTGTCATTACTACATCAGGATGGACCCAGCAGGCAGCAAAGGCAGCTCACCTACTTCAGCACAGACAGAGGAATATCACCTAGGAATGGCCTTAAAGGATACATCTAACAGGTCAACCATTATTTTGCATGTCTCAACACTAAAGCCATCAGTTTTAATATCTTGACCTGTAAAGAAAGAGCAAAAGACGGGATTATCATTGCATGCAGTACCACAGCACCTTCCTAAATAGCTCATGAGCTCTCTAACCAGTGCAGACACACCAGCCCTTATTTGCTTCTGTGAGATTGGTGGCTTCCTTTGCAGCTGATGGAGAGGCTTTAGGTGAAAGTCAGCTGGGATGTTTCCCCAAGCAAACAGCCCAGTTAGTCTAGTTTGAAGTTGTGCTACAGAAGCAAGAGACAGAGACAAAAGCTTTCCTGCCCTTACTGTCTGCCTTCAAGGGTAAGTGTAGACTCCTATGGACAACATGGACTTTTAACTTACAGAGGTGAGCAGTCGGCAGCTTCGTGCAAGGGCTGAATATCAAATCAAGCTTGGTAACCAGCAATACCCCATTGCTAACTGGCTGGTGCACACAGACGTACAACACAGTCCCGACCATCTGGATAAGATTTCACTTTGGAAATTAAAGAGACACACTTCTCTAAGCACTTATTCCTTGAGCACTGTTTAATGGAAAGGAAATAATAGAGAGCCAAGCTAGGCATCACTTTACAGAAAAAGTAGCCCAGAGCTTCAAAGTTTCTCCTCCTGCTTAGGGACATGGCAGACCATTGTCTGGTCAGACTGTTTGAACCACTCAGGAGTGGTTCAATACTGAAGTAGCAGCAATACCTCTCTTGATTATTATCAAGCACTAATCAAATCTGTCCATCTTCCTGGTTGCCAATTCCCAGTGGTAGATGCTGGGATAAAAGACACCCACATATACCCTGCCAAAGCACATGTCCTGTGAAACACCTTCCGGGCTGGCACAGCCCCAGCATTTCTGCAGCCCCCTGAAGCAGCAGAGAGAGCATGTGGCTGTGGCCAGATGGAGAGCCAAGGGCAGGTCTGGGGCACAGCCCAGGGCTTTGACTCTGCCCAGGCTGGTGATGCACTCCCTGCTCCCACAGCCACACTGGAAATCCGCTGGTGGCCAACTGAAGCTGCTGTTGGAGGAAGGTACTTACGCTTAGCCATGATTTTATTCAAGATGCTGCGCAGTTCAAAGGCTGAGATCTCTGCATCCTGCAGAGAAGAGGAAAACAAATTTTTCACTGTGAGCTGCAGACACCATCTGCAGCCTCTGACCCCTTTGGGTGAGCTGGCCAAGTTCAAACATCCCTTGGAGTTCACTTCCCTTGGATGGAAATGCAAGCACTAAGTTCTCCCTCCTCCCATTCCCAAGAGCACCACCAATTCCCAGATATTAGCATGCCCAGCAAGGTGTGCCCGAGCCCCTGGGCAGCCCAGAGCAGCCTGGGGAGAAGGCACAGCCCAGCCCTCGAGGCACCTCTGTGCCTGCACCATATGCTCTGCCCCAGGGCAGAATTAGGGCCCTGCAGAGATAAAAGCCTGCAGTTCAAAGAGAATAAAGACTGTTCACCAGGAGTGCTCACAAATCCACTGGATAAGCAGATGGGTCACTGCACAGATTTCAGCTCGCACAATTATGCACACGCTTGAGATCTGACTCAGCACAAGAACTAAACTCTGTCCCAGGGAGAGGTGTCTCTCTTACCCACTCACCCATGATGCCATTAAGATATTACCAGGAAAAATACTCACACTTCCTGCTAGCTGTCCAAAAAGCCTTTTAAAGTTGGGTTCGATGTCATCTTCACTGATCTCGGTCTAGAAGACAGAAACAGAGAATGTGGAAAGGAGGAAATTTTCTACCTGAGAAAGACTTTGTTCATTTCCTTGTCCCTAGTAAAACATAATTAAAATGGCAAAGTTGAAGGTAGAGTGTTTTTGCTATGATTTTAATCAGTTTCATTTTCAGGGGCACCTCAAAATGCTGGCATTGCAAATGCTGCAAAAAAATCACCCATGGGGTACATGCACGGGTAGGCAAAACATCCCCAGCTCCAGCAGGACTAAACATATGGTGAGCCACTAGTTACTCATGGAAACAATTTCACATGCAAAAAACCCCCAGGACTGAAAGCTGCACTCTTGGATTCCTGGAGAGCAAAGGGAATTTCCTGTGGCTCCAGTTAACTCTTCAGAGTGTACCTGACCTCCTCTACCTAGGAAGTCTGAGAGCTGGATAAAGCACGTTTCCATTACATTGCTTATGATATTTCCACTTGCTTGACACTCAGTTATGGATATCAAAAGATCTTTTATCAAAGTTCTTGATAATGCCTATTGAAAAACATTGCTCTGCACAGGGAACAGGCACTCCAACCCCAATTATTGACAACAAAACCATCTCAATTTAAAAAACATTTAAGTTGATGTACCTCTTCAAAATTGGCCTCAATTTCATCATCTATCACCCTAGAAAGATAAAGAAATCAATATTAAAATCAAAACAGGTCACTTTTATGATGCTTTTCCTTCAAGCTTCAGTTACACAGAGATTCTTTAAAATATGGAAATAATAATTAGTATTCAAAAATTACTGGATTAATCAGTGACAGACACTGCATACCACAGGGAAAGCAGTATTTTGCCAGCTATGGAAACACATTACAAACTGTGCAATGTCCTGCAGAGTCACAAACAGGATTTCGGGCCACACATAACTCTTTGGGTCATTCAGTGTCACTTAGCCCAAGACCAGGCTCTTGGGTGCAAATCAAACTTTATCTAGTTGATATTTTTTCTTTTTTTTTTTTTTATTCCTTTAAAAGAGCAAAAAGTGAGAGCCCTAAATTCTGATGTGTTTCACCTTGTCTCCCAGGTGCTGTGGGAGCACCACACCTACTTAAGCACTGCTAAGGGCCCATCCAAAGCTCAGTGTGTCCTCACACAACAGCCATCCCAGTTTTCTCACCACAGCCCAAACATGCAGCAAAACATTACAGGACAGAAAAAGGATTTTGCTTGCTTTGAATCAGGGAGCTTAATACAAGAGATCCCACATCCCTTCCTGAGGTTTTAGCCCAGCTGCTCTTTAAGGTGTGACACCTAAAATTTTTCATGGTTTTACAGCTAACAGTGCGGTTTGAGCCAGTTCCGTTAAAATCCATTTTAACTTTATCAAAGGTACCATTTGGTTGAGCAAGTATCTTGAATTTTTTCCAAATTTTTCTCAACGCTGTGAGATCAGTTGTGGTGATCAGTGTGTTCCCAGGCAATTGAAAGCACTGGGAGGCATTTCTGTCTCCCAACAGGAGAGCCCAACCTGCCACTCCCGGGGCTTTCTTCTCTCCACAGACTTAACTGTGCTGTAGCACCCAGCTGCCCAAGGCCCCGTAACTACAAATGTCTGCTCAGGCAGGGATAATTATGACAACAATAATAAAAAATTGTACTAAATATTATTACTTTTCTTCCACCATTTCTTCCTGCTAAGTTTACTCAAACTTTCCTTAGTTGCCCACGAGGAAACTGGGGACAAACAAGAACCGCCATGATCCCATCCATACAGGGTCACTGTGCGTTCCCCCTTCCCTCCTGGGAAGTGGATGTACCACCCCATCCCTGGGCTGTTCCATCCTTTCATGCCTGCAAGAGGGACCAGAGGTCACCCACGTGCTCGTACCACTCTCACACAAAAAGGTACGTACGTGGAGTTTGCGTTTTTTTCAGAGAAGACGCGCAGACAGAAATCCCCGTTCTTGTTGGGTTCAAAGGTGGAGGGCACGACGATATATTCTCCTGCAGGGAGCTTGAACCGGTTCAGCACTTCCCGGAGGTTGATAAAGGTGTTTGATTTTTCTCTTGCTTTGTTGGTCAGGAAAAAGTTTTTGCTCAGATGAATATTCGTCTGGCCAGAAAACTTATGCAAAGCAAAGAAAGAGGAAAAACCTACAGTCTGCATGCACTTGCATCCACAAATTAAAAATATAATAGAAATATCAAGTAGCTATGTATGGGGGGGGAAGGGGGCAGCAGGGAAAGAAAAAATTGTCAGCTCGACAGTACTGAAAGAGAAGAGAAAGGGGGTGAGTGCATCCCACCACAGGACTCCTGAGATGTGGCTGCAAATGTATTTTGCAGAACATCACAATAAATCACTCAGGTCCTGCTTTTGTTTTGCAGATGATGATGGGTGTCTGAAGACATCTGAAAATTTTCCCACCATTTTTCTTCAAAGTTATATGGCATAGGAGCCATGTCCCTTTGGTCCCCACAGCTGGTGCCACCTGGAGACTGCAGCTTGGATCTGCCTCTGAGGTCAGGCTGCCCTAAGGCAGAGACCTCACTTATGGAGGGCTCCAAGAATAAAATAAAATAAATCAAATACTTTGAGTGTAACACCTAGTGAAAGGTGTCCCTGCCCATGGCAGGGGCATTGGAAGTATATGATCTTTAAGGTCCCTTTCAACCCAAACCATTCCATGACTCTATGATTGTCCAGATTAAACTTTTCTGTGCAGTGTCTTACAGGTGGGCTATTTCGGCTCCAGGAAATCCTTGGTGATTCCAACATCAGGAATGTGCATGTTTCAGAATCCTCCTCCTTCCTGTCCTCCCAGATTTTTATGAATGCAAAACCTGTCAGACCTGCTGCTTTAGTGGGAGATAAAGATTTCCTTTACCTTCTGGGCAAAGGAAAAGTCATGGGGAGTGGTAGGTAGAATCTCTTAAGGAAATGAGATTTTTCAACACTAGGGTGAGAGCTGCGTGGCTGACAGTACTGCTAAGGCATTAAGAAGGTACATAAGAAATTTAATTAACTAGTAGCACCATTTTTTTCCCTGATGAAACCACATTTTACACAAAAGTAGCTAGTTTGAGCACAGTCTCAGGTATCATGGGGTACCCCAGTGGCTTGCTTGCACCCTCACAGGTACAGCAAATCCAGTAATGGGGTCTGGATTTTCACCCCAGCATTTTGCTCAACTTCAGTCATTCCTCTGAGTAGCAACAGCTCAGAGGTGCCTGCAGCCCTCCCCATATTGCACAGGCAGTGCTGCATTGCCACTCCTCTCTGAACCCCCCAGGGTGTACTATTAGCTACTTGCAGGTAGAAACAGAGAGAAACTAATGAAGGTGGTGCTTGGGGAAATGAATATAAACACCTCCTTGGAATATTATTCATGTGTCAAACATGAACTCTGTGCAGAGCTGGGAAAAGCAGCTGTGCTCTGGGGGAGCAGATGTGGGTCAGGGCAGGGATAAGAGCCATGGAAGAGCTGCTTTGGTGAGTTTCTGCAGTATAGGACATTCTTATCCCAATCCAAGACACTCTGAAAATGCAACATGGGCTCAAGGCCCCTTTGAGAACAAATGGTCTTTAAGTTTAGAGAGACTCTGTGCAGTCATGCTGTCCTGTGGACAGGAGGATCCTCTGAACCACTTCTTCCCACAAGCCCTCCAGCCCCAACTCTGCACGCTGACCACCAACACAGGCTACATACCTCTGGGGGCACCTGCAAGGAGAAAAGGAGAGAATTACTTGCTTGTTGAATGGCAGCTCCAGGGCTACTTCATTTGCTTAGCAGGAACTTCCACACTTAGAAAAAAAAAAAAAAAAAGGCTTGAGGGGAAGGTGAATGTTGAGCCCACGCCACACAATGCTGAGTGCTGGCTCAGCTCCATCCTGGAGGCAGGTGAGGCTCTCCTGGGGCAGCGTGGGCACAGTCTGACACAGACACAGTCTGGCCGTGGCTTCCTGCTGAATCTCCTCCCTGCAGCCCACTGTGATGTTTTTTTGTAGGCTCAATTTCTCTACTATTTCTTCCCACCTCTTCTTTCACCTTCCTGCCCCTCTGACCTCTGAGGCAGAGGCTGAGCAAGGCAATAATGCAACTTTCTGTTTATGGTTTCAGGGGACTTAGCTTTGCTTTAAACCTTATTATCCTATGGGGACCAGATCCTCTGACAAGCTTTTCAAAGTTGGGATACTGATAAAACCAGCAGTTGTACATACTGCCTGTGGTTACAGAGCAACCCACAGACAAAATCATCATTCCTGTTTCCACTGCCACATAAGCGCCGCTGATTTCCAGCTCTGTCCTACTTCAGGAGCTACCATAAACACATCCCTGACCCTTCACTCAGCAGAAGGAGTTTTACAGGTGTTTTGGTTGGTTCTGCTGCTGGCTTCACACTTCCCAAGGTAGAACAGGTGTCCCAGCTAGGGTCACAACCCCACCACAGCTGCTCCCATTCTGCTGCTTTCACCACAGTCTGACAAGTGAAAGGGATTTCTGCACTTATTATTTTTAAAATAATTTAGAAGTAACAGAATATTATAGGTGTGAAGTGGCCTCTACAGGTAATTTGGTCCAACCTCCCACTCAAAGCAAGGCTGACATCAAAGTTAATTATTTTGCTCAGGACATTTTCCAGCCTAGGTTTGAGTATCTCTAGGATCATAGATTCCATTGTCTCTCTTGGTACCTGCCCCTGTGCTTGACTGCTATGTTTTGTGGAGGATAATTTTCTAAACATCTAAGTAGAATTTGCCTTGCTGCAGCTGCTGTCTGACTCATCATCTGAGTTTTGACTGAAAGCCCAGTCTGAGAACTGCACTACCCCATTTATAGGTGGAATGAGCTTTCCTTTTCCTCCCATGCACCTGTACAGCCTTACTTGCCTCATAAATTGCAAAGCCAATGGTGTGCATGTCCTCTCCCATCTTCCTCTGCTTCCGCCGGTGCTTCTGAATCAGCCCAATGAGGAAAGTGCAGCCCCCCTCAGGATCATCAGGATCCTCATCTTCTTCCTCCAGTTTGATTAAATACTGCGGATTTGTCCAGAAAGTGTCTGGGAAGTGGATTTATGCAAACTGCTCAGAGGCTTCTTTGAAATAAACTGTGTTGATTTATGTGTCAGCTAGGACAGATGTGGTTCTGACTTCAAAAATCAGCTGTCAGAAGGAAAAACTCCCCTTCTCCCTCCACCTTTACAATCATAACTTGACCCTCACTAGGGAGCTGCATCTCCCACACCCCTGCACTTTTTGGACATTAGTCCTAGATATCCCAGGTACATTCTCCTCCTCCGTAAGCCACCCCAAACCATATCCCATCAGCTCTCACAGAAAGTACAAGTGGACAAGCAAAACATTTCTCCAGTTTTTCTTACTTGGGTAATTCCTGCAGCCCCCTGCAGTGGCTCCTCGTCTCCAACTCCCATCCAACTTCAGCAGGCTCCACTTCTTGTACCTGTCACTTGCCAGGGTGTCTGGAGTCAGGTTGCAGATCTCCAGGCGGGAGTAATGCCTCAAGAAGTCGTTGAACGCCATCCTGTGGGAGGCAATGCCACTGGAAACATCTCCTCAGGATGGACAGGTTTTCCATACAACCAACTTGCCTTTGCTCCCTCTCTCTTACTGTGATTTAGCACCAGGATTTGGGGTGATTTTGTGCACTCATCTAGGAGAGCATACTTGGAGTGATTACTTTGTGTGAAAAAAAGCTGGGCAGATGACATTCTCTTCTGCCAAAATGGAAACCTAGTGGTATTTACCAAAATTCCCCATCTTCATGTCTCCTGGTCAGCCGCTCCCGCACCTCAGGGTCAACGCCACTCCAGTTTGGGCAGCTGAAAGAGAACCCCACATCAACTGCAGCATATGGTAAAGGTTAAACCCTAATTTGGCTGTTCTGGTACAATGATTTCACTCTCCACAACTGCAATATTCCACAAGATCTAAATGACAGCAGCGCCAGAACTCTCAAACCACTGCAGAATTAAAAATAGATGGACCTGGTCTATAAGATAACTAACTCACTTCTCAAATATCCAAGGTAAGGACGAGAAGCAGAGTTTTCTTTTCAGAAAGTGCTAATGCCTTGACTGAGGCAGAGCTTTGTATTAGAAAAAGAAAGTCTCAGAATAAAAACCACCCAGCCACACAGGTGAATTAACTCCAGTTTTCATTGCTAACAACAGAAGTGGATTTTAAAGCCCTTTTAGAAAGTAAGTTTTCAGAAGCTCACCACCGAATACAGGCTGTTAAATAAGCAGAAACTACAGTGAAGTTTCTAGGAATCACCAACCAAATCACTGCACCTTACATAAAGGCAGGTGTTTGCATGGAAGGCACCACATACTGTGACACCCACAAGGGAGATGACAGTGATGGGATGCTTCTCTCTGAAACAGTTTAGAGTGAACATCACATCCAGACGTGACTTATAGAGGAATTTGAGGTAGGGAAAAAACAGACAACAGCAGAAACATGACTGCACCCCTGCAGTAAAAGCCTACTGGCACCGTGTAAGCCATCGACTCACTTGTCATTCCATTTCCCAGTCCACTCCACTTCCCCCCAGGGATTTCGGATTCTGATCAGCTTCTGCACTGTTCCTCGGAAGTTCACCTGATGTGATCAGAAGTGTATGGAGAGTTACTCAGGGACGCAGTACCGTGCTCCCTCCCACACCTTCTATGGTAATTAAAAAACATGACAGAGCAAGTATTTCAATGTTCCGCATGACAAAGTATACACACAAACGTGCACACATCTGGTCCAAAAGACAAGTCAAACTGATTCTGAATGTGCTTCATGCACCCAAGCCTGTCCAGAGAAGTTTTATAACATGCACAAACCAAAGCTCATGATAACCAAAATGTCTGTTTTGTGCTGCAAAAAAGTGACCTCTAAGATTTCAAGCAAAGGGAATGTAAAACTGCTACAGGACTGCCAGAAAGCAGGTACAGAGAGATATTTCTCTAAGTCATCATTATGTATAACCTGCCTTTTTACATTCAAATGCCTTTTTCTCCCCTCCTTCTATATTAGATGTGCTTGTTACAAGAGATGGGATACTCAGACTGGCCACAGCTCCTCAGCCCCTCCTCACACTGTGCCAAGGCTGTGGCTTGTCATCTGCTGCCTCTGCACACAGTGAGGCCAGGCCAAGCAGAGCTGTTCAAATTTCAGTGGAAACACCCATTATTTCTGGGGAACACACAGCATTGATGTGAAGAAGGAGCTGGTGCACCTCTAGAGCCTGAAGCCAAGAAAACTGCAGAGCAGCAGCTACGCAGAGTCCAGACATGACAGACGCTCCAAGATGAAGCATCCTTACAAAGTCTGCACAGATCTCCAAAGGAAAAGCCCGTTCGTGAATTATGGTCAACAAACTCCCTCTCTACCACTTTTGCTGTGACAGGAGGACCAAATAAACACCCACAAACCTGCCTGTTAGCAGCATGTCAGCAGCTCTCTACACCTCACTCAAGTTTCAGAAATTATTTCAGAACCAATTATTGGTGAAGTAACCCCAAAAACTCATTAGACATGTATAAGGACATCATGATCTCTTCCTTAGTTTTCACTTGTCTTACCCTCAGCAATCACCCACTCTTCACTAGGCACCTTGCATTCAAATACCATGCCTTCCTGAAAAGTGGTTTGGCAGGCACTTAAAAGACAATAATATATATTTTTCTTGCTTTGTGCACATCTCTCATCTCGTGCATTTAAGTTACAGTGCTGCCTGTTATGCAGAACCGAGTTAAAGGGCCTGGTCACCAGCAGAGGGTAGTGTGCCCTCTGCACAGAGCTGCCCACCACCCTGCTCACTGGGAAAAAGCAATGTTTATGGAAAAATAGGGTTTTTTCAGCCAGACCGCCAAGAACACAAATTTCTGTTTATCCAAAACACACCAACTCATTCAGTATTCCTTCAGAAAGAGGAGACTCAAAACCCGATTCAGCAAAATGAAAAAGCTCTGGGTGACACTCCAGAGTTTGCAGTGTTGGAGATGGATTTGTGGCTGCCACACACAACACCCCCGTGGGGTGGCACACCTACCTCCTCTGCCCCGGTGACCGAGTAGGCGTGTCCCTTCACCAGCTTCTGGGAAGTGACAGCCTCTGTCTCTGCTGCACTGGTGATCTGGAGGAGCAAAGAACATCGGTGAGCGTGGCTTCCCATGTGCAGGGGATCCTGCAGAGGAAAGCTTCCCCCTCCAGTGGAGCTTTCATCTCCCTGGCAGGCTGCAGGGGTGGTTTAGCTGCTGCACAGAGGCAACAAGAGGGATCAGCACGGCAGAGTGGGGAAAGGGAACAGGAGCACTGGAGCTCCAGGGGCCACGTTCATGGCAAAGGGTGCACCCCAGAAGCCCTGCACCACAGGAGAGCTCCCTCTTGGCTCCAAAACATTTGGTGTGGTGCATCCCCTCTTGTGCATCTCCAATGGGGATACACACAATAAACCCCATATTCTCAAGGTAACTGGGAAGAAAACAGGGAGTGACTGGCTTGAGGCTACCTAGGCATCACCAGGGATCACACCCAGGTCCAGCAAGCCCAGTGCTTTGCTTCAGGGTTAAAACACTCCCTTCAGCTCCACTGTAGGGTGGGAGGTTGCCTTTGCTTTCCCTAGCACTGGCACCCTGGAACCTGCCATGCAGGGCAGCAAGGCTGAATTTTGGATGCCACTGGAACCTGAAGGCACATCACCCTCTTGCTTTTTCGTGGCCATTAGAATACTTGGGCAGTCTGGCCTTTAAACACTGCAGAGAAAAAGTCACTTCTTGCTAGACAGCGAAGGTTTAACCACCTATGAAACATAAGGCTATCACTCTCTTCCTACCATTTCAGAAAGTGTGTGATCTCTAAACAAGCATATTGGAAGTTTAAGAAAACAGAGAGGAGGGGATTGAGCAGGCAGGATTCCTGTTGTCAATTCAGGCCCTATTACTGCCCTGCAATACATTCTTCATGTAATGCTTAATCTCCTTGTCCCTATTTCTCTCACAGAAGAGAAGATTTTAGAAGATTTTTTCCAAAGGCTAAACTCAGTAACAAAAAATTCACAGTGCAGAAATTGCCAGTACTTATCAACAACACAATACATTTACTCTGCTCCACCTTCAACAAGAGATTTGTATTGTGGGGCAAAAATCCAGATGTCAGATTCTTATCTAAGTGCAAACAAGTAAAACAGGCCTCAAAAGTACCATGAAGTCAAACACTGACATTAACCAAGTACTTTTCATGCTGTGAAGCTTCCCTCTTGTGGGACTCTGATTTAACTTGAAAAATGGGAGGAAACATTTACATTTATATTATGAATGGAGCTCTTGTAAACAATTTACCTTCCCTTTAGACATAAGTAAGATGCAATCTCATTTGGAAGGAGGGTGATTAACACAATAACAATACCTAGGCTCATTTCAGTAAGGCTAAAAGCGATGCTGAATCCTTGCAGGTAGGGCCAAAGCTCCTCTCTTCCTTCTCATGCAGGTCCAGCTTTTGTCAGTGTGTTTTCTCATAAATCCTTTTAAAGACCTGGCAACAGTCTGAGCCTCTCTGCTTCAGACTTTCTGGGAACATTCAGACCTGCCCAGATTTTTGGGGAACATATTAGGTGCAACTTGTGTGTCGAAAAGGCTACAGCAAGGCTGGAGGTTGCATCTGAGAATCTGCAGGAGCCATTAGCAGCAGCTTTCTGTCCAAATCTACTCACCCTCACCATCCTGCTGCCAAGCTACAGGCTTTCTTAGGAGCAAAGATGTACCTCAGGATCCCTAACGAGTTCCCTGTACGATTCATTGCCATGAACTTACAAGACAGCAAAAGCTCTAGGTCTCAAGGAAGAAACACAAAGGAGGCAAAGGACTTTTACTAATAAAGTCTATGTTTCAACCTAAGCCACATGAAGAGCACGTGCCTGAGTCACATTGGTGGGTCAAACTCTCCAGGCACAAGTAGAGCAGAGCACCACAGCAGAGGGAACCTGCATCCTGTGTGCAGTTCCTGTGGACTGTCCCCCCCACAGCTGCCTGCATGCACAGCTGGGTGCCCAGCAATGAGCCTTCTAACTCACATCAATGGAGCAGCCAAGGAGAGAGCCTTTCTGGAGGGCCTTCTGAATGATTTTGAAGAGGTTGGGTGGTGCTGTCCGCAGTTCGTACCATTCTGCAATTCCACCGGTGAAGTCCTCGAAACCTTCGGTGGTGGTGCCACCAGAAAGGGCCTCATACGATCCGTTCAGCCTGCACAAAATGAGGGACACGCACAACCATCATGCTGCCTGCTTTCCTCTTCTCTCACACACAGTCATCGGGTTTCCCTGTTCTCCTCTTCTCTTCAGTAGAGGCACTCAGTGGGCCAACTGTGATGGCATTTCTGCTTTCAACAGCAGCTACGAATTACGAATGTGCCCTCCATTCAACTTTGCACCCTGTACTTGAAAAGCCCAGCATAAAATCTTACACAATCATGGATACAGGCTGCAGGTTCAGTCACGTCGATGACAAAAATCCTGAATGCTATTCGAAGAAAAAAAATGTATTAAAAAAAACAACCAATCAAGACCCATCATTTTGCCTCTTGAGTCCCACAGTCTTTTAGTCTCCTTAACAATTACGGGTCTGATTTTCAGATGTTCTAAATTTCTTAAGTAAATTCAAGATAATAATGTCAGAGGGAAGAAATCCTCTCTGGTCAACCTAAAAACGGAGGTTCAGATATGAGTGTCTTTTGCCCCTAACGCAGACCTAAGCATGTGGACTGATGCACTTTGCACACTGAAGCACTGTAGCTCAAGCTCTCACGGGTACACAGAACACAAGAAACAGAGTTTCCCAGGCCCTGGTGACAGGAGACCACTCTAGGAACAGCCTCACCATGAGATGCAAGAGCTACTTTTTTTGGCTAGCAACACAGCCAATACTATGGCTACTTGTCTTAGGTATCTCTACACGATGTTTCATTAACGCAGTCATTGTGGGATACCCCAGAAGCTGTAAAGGGTAATAATTAGGCTGACACTTTAAATGCATAGTATTCATACAGTTGAGGATGCCATGGGGAAGCAGTTATTTGAGTGGGGTGAAAGCCTGGCCTGGACTCACTTGGCATAGGCCTTCTCCAGCAGCGCGCTCCAGAACTCGCTGCCCTCCGCCGAGTGCACGAACAGCAGCTCCCCGTTCTTGGTGGGCAGCCTGTCATCCACCACCACATCCACCCACTCCCCGTACTGCCAGAACTGAAAAGAGATCACAGACACCTTGTCACCACAGCACACTCCGTCACCAGGACCTTTATCTGCTAGCGCCAATTTCCTAGAGGAAAAGCAATCTCCCTTCATCCACCCTGTTCAGGGATGCACGTACCCAGCTGGCTGCACTGGTGGAGGGAGGACCACAAAGACTGCCCCTGCTCCCAGCTCTTTGGTTAATGGTCTTGTTCCTTCCACCACCATCACCCTTCTTAGCTGGCTCCCTTTTTCTGTCTGGCTCTTTGACATCCCATAAAGCCATTCCAGGAAACCCCACACACAGAGACACAGCCAGTCACCGGCTCCTGGCCAACAGCACTGGGGGGAGAAGGCTGTTTTCCACACACCTGGAAATGGAAAATTCCTGCATATTTATCCTGGAAGCTCTGGTCTTTGGGAACAACACGGGCCAAAATTTCTTCATTTAAGGTGAGAGAAGCAATGGCAGCCAAGAGCCAACAGTCCCCTGTACAAACAAAAGAAAAAAAAATAATTAGGTTCAATATTCAAACTTCATTCTTCAGGTTTTGCACTGCATAGGGATTGGGCATTATAACCAATAAGCCCCTCATCTGGGACATGATGATCCCTCCCACCACCTTACCTCTAAGACAGATCAAATGCATGAACATAAATACCCTCCAGTTGCAGGCAAGCGTTTCCTCAAGACCAAAGTCATTAAAAAAAAACCCAAAGCAGGCTTTTTCTGATCTACCATCACAGTTATCACCCACTCTGGGATTATTTGAAAGAGTGCTTACATGTTAGGAAGCAGCATGGGGAAAAAGGTAAAGAGCCTGTGGGCACATGCAGGCACTTAGGGGTGCAGTTTCTCCTCAAAAGGACAGTGTTTACTCAAGCATGGGCTGCATTCATTTCCCTCCTCCATGTTTAATAAATGCCTGTTGCTTTGCCATCCAGAGACCTGTCCTCTAGACAAACTCCCTTTAAGGTCTCTTGCCAGCCTCCCTCCAAACAGGAGCTCCTTTCACCTTAGACATCTCTAGAGGCTCTTGCTTGAGGCCTCTCTGTCTAGTCCCACATTTCATCCCTGGCTCTAGTCACCAGAGAGACAGGAAAGGCCTGAAGGCAGGCACTGTTTCCCAGTCCCACACACCTCTTCACCCCACCTGGGATGGAGCCAACATACACTAAGCCAGCACACCACAGCTCCAGGGCACAGGCTGCCTGGACAGTGTTTTTCCACACCATCTCCTGCCATGCAGAGGGAGGAAGAGACCACAGAGCTCTATAAACATTACACCTCTATTTCTGTAATTATTTTCAGAACCCAGTGTTACTTTCACAGGGCAGTTACCTTTCTGCTCAGCCATGGGCTTCCTGCAGCCTGTTAGCAAGGCAGAGATTTACAGACCTGGATGATCCCCTGACTGCCACAGCCCAGCACAAAACCCCTTGTTAGCATTACCAGATCCACTGTCCCTTTGCTTTGTGAACAGAGTGTAGTCGGTATTACACATCAGATCCCCCAGAATGATACTGGAGGATTGCAGGTTGAAGCAGCATGAACCAGCTGCAGCTGCCAGCAAGCCAGAGCCCAGCAAAGCAGCAGTCCCTAGACAGTCTCCTCTCTCCCATAGGAAAAGGCTCAGAGCCTACAGGTGAGAAGCTGGGATCCAAATGGGAGAAAGTTTCAGGGCGAATTAACTCTAAAGCGGCCCCCAAGGTCCACCCTGAGGCCCAAATCCATCACTGCTCAGACAGCACTGGCAGGAACACAAGCAACCTGCAGCTCTCTCCAGGCTGCCCTTTGCTTTTCATAGCTGACCCCTAGCAGCACCCCTATGAATGACATCTGTCCCACGGCCCTTTTCACAGTTCATAAAAGGGAGAAGATATGAAATTGCAGAACAATTTCAAAACCCAGGGTGCTTTTACTGTTTCATTACCTAGAGGGGAAGAACCAAACATAAAACTTTCCCTTCAGCCCGGCCTCTGGCTGCTTGTACTGCAATAAAAAAATCACTGTGTCAGAGTTTTCAAACAGGAAAGTCACCTTGCCATTCTGCTTTGACAGGTTATGAAGCAACAAGGATGTTCCCCTCCCTCCTCTGCGACAGCACATCCATCTCACCCTGCCAAAAGGGAACTCCTCTTACAGCCTCCTCCAAGGTGCTGTAAGACTCTCTTCCCTGGGAGCTGTGCATCCTCTGGTGCTGCAGTGCATCCAGAGGTATTGCCACACACCACAAAGGTGCTTGCAGGGAAAGAGACTGCGGTCAGAAGGTATTAAGAGGCATTTTGAGATGGGCTAATCTATAATTATGGGTCCTCTCTCCTCCAGTCACACAAGGGATTTAGCAGCTATCCTTCACAGCAGTTCTCACGGAGTATCTGAAGTTGGAAGGAAGCCATAAGGCATGAGACAAGTCACAAATATACAAACTGGTAGGTTAACCTGTCTCATCTCACCACAGAGACCAAATAACTGATAACCCACAGAGAGGGGCCTATCTGAGCATCTGAACAGCCCCAGCACACACCCCATGCTCCACAAGGCTTTTACAGACAGATTTGTGCAACTCAGAAGTAAAAGGAGCTTCTCAGACCCATGCTCCAAGAGAACCCCAGAGTACCTGACACTGGTGTCACTAACCTCAGAAAAACTGTGTTGATTTAAATTAGTGGCAAGCCTGGCTCAGAGGGCAGCTGTCTCACTGTTCTTCCCAAGAAATATCAGCATTTCTATTCCACACACATGGCAGGGGCTGGGAACGCAGAGAGCAGCACAGAAAGAATAAGTGAACAATTCAACATGACCACAGCATCTCAGGAAGCCTGGGTCAAGAAGCTGATCAGGTATCTAGATTAAGAGCATACACCCTTCAATGATATAACATATCTTTGAGTCATATTTCCCCTGTAGGTAAGAAACACAGGAATTCAAGGAGAAACTCCCCCCAGAGGACCTCTACGCCAATAAGCAGAGTCTATAAAGAATTTCCTTTACTTTCTGGCTGCTTCATGCAGGCAGACTGAAATAGTAGACTCTTGTAAAATCTCTTGGTTGAGAGTCTGACAAACATAGATCATAATTCGGACTACTCTGGGCAAGGTCTTCTTCAGATTTAAAAGCAGATGCAGCATATGTGGGAGACACCTCATCCGTTGGTTTTCACATTTAAAAGTGCTCAACAGTCAAGATATCACCTCTTCCTTTCTGAACAGTCATCACAAGAAGTAAACTTGATAATTCAAAGCCTGGAGGAGAACAGATCTGGAGTTTTAGCAAGCATTAAGTAAGAATGAGTAGAGTCTTTACCAAATAGTCCTAACTATCAGAACTGGTACTTCTGTAAGGTTCTTGACAGTGACTTTCCTTTGATAGAGAAGGAAAATTAAGAAGAGGGTAACAGAGGTTAATTATAAAAAGAATTTGAAAGGAGCGTTAGCAAGGCTAGGTTAATCATAGAGAATTTTTGTAAATGAACAATAGGTAGAAAAACGTTATCAGAAAAGGGAATAAAAAAACAAGCTGTGAGTTTATTTGTAGCATATATTTATACGAACAAGAAGTACTACTTTTTCCTGTCACACTTCCTTTTTGCCATTTTAATGTTTTACTACTTATTTCTATACCCCTATCTCTGCATTTACCTAATTTCCAGCTACAACCAGAATGTTAGAAAAAAAAAGGTAACTGCAAGGCACACATAAATAGCCTTAAGGGCTTAAAATTGACCATTCCAGAAAGAAAAGACAGGCAAAACACACCCAAGAAGTGCCTGAAGGGCTGTAAGCAAAAGGCAGCTCCTCTGGCCACTGCACAGCCCGTGTAAAAATATGGGAAAAAAAAAAAGAACATTCTAATGTACATTCTGCCAATCACAGACTAGTCACTATTTTAAAACATTCATAGCTATAGATTAACAGCTACTGAATGTATTTTTATTAATACCACATGAATCCAGGAAGCGTTCTGGTTAGAAACATGAGGTTGTGGCAACCCACTGACAGTGGAGTGGTTGTCAGCCTAAGAAAACCATGGATCTAATTTCCTAAATTCGTCCTACTCAATTAGTTGTTTTTTCACACATTTTTATTTAAGGAGGAGACACCTGCATCGAAACAGCAGATGAGAGACACTGTGCTGTTTACGCTCCAGTGTTGTGATACCATGGTGACATCCCCTCCAAAAAAGGCGGTTAAGGGTGAACAAGGTTTTTCTGGCTTTGGATCCTCCCCTCTGCTGCAGTGAGTCACCACATCCCATGTGCTGCCATTTGCAGCCAAAAAACATCACTGACTTCAGATCTGATACTGCAAAACTAACTCCAAATACGTGCCTTTAAAAGTTTCACCTAAAAAGAAAAAAAACCAAAAACAGCCAACAAACCAACTAAAACCCCAAACTTTTCTGCACTGATGATCAGATATGCCTTATATGCATCACAGTATCATACAGCCCAGGTCAAAAACAATAAAACAAATGTATGCACCTGGCCCATAATAAAAAACCCTCTTGGGTTAAAAGGAATCTCTGCTCATTAGCTGAGCTGTGTGGTTACACATCCTCTGCCAAGAAACCTCTTGCAGCACTGATGGGTACGTGTGTTTTGGATGCCTCATCTGCCCCTGCAGTACTCCCAGATGTTCTGAAAGGCTTAGCAACAGCAGTGAAGCTCCACATGGCTACAAGTCTGTTGCTTTGGGATCAAGCCTTTTGGGAGATAAATAAGGCTACAAAAGCTTCCTATGGAAAAAAACCAGCATGATGAAAAATACAGGTTTTCAAAAGCATCCGACATCTTCCAGTGCAATCTTCTCTGTAACATCCTAAAATGTCATGGGACATCAATGTCGGCACACAAAATTCAAGTAAATGGAAGCTTAAGCACATGTACTGATATAAATGCTGGTGTCAGACGAGGTGATGACAAAAATTTTAAGAAAAGCATTTGCACAGCACGTCTGCTAGCCTCACTGTGTATAAAGCAGAGATTCCATACAGGCTCTTAGTTACTCAATGGCAATACAGAGATAAAATCAATAGCATCTAATTTTTAATCAACCACGGGACTGTCACACAATATCAAAATCCTGCCCAGATTCATGGAAAGATAGTGGGGCAAGTCATCACAGTACTTAGTCATGGCGAAAACATTAAGACAAACAAGAGCACTAACTCAAATATAGTTTTGAGGAGGTAAAATAATACCAGCTCTGAGTCAGCTCACATCCTTTGGTGATACCATACAACCTCACAGGAACATCTGACTGGTCCAAAGACCAGTAAGGCAACAAATCCTTTTATCAGTCTAAAACAGGGTTTGGCATTAGCAACAGCAACTTCCTAACCTGAAAATGAAGTTACAAATCTGTCATTCCCGTGCTCTTACTGTCACAGCATCTTGAAAAGTTGGAAGGCTGCCGATGGCAGGAAGCAACTAAGAGCCCTCAGAAACCAGCATCTCTACAAAGTGCCAGATGTTGAAATGGCATTACAATAAACTCTCATTTCAAGTTGAAGAACTCCATAGCTGTAAAGTTTCACAATAAAAAGAGAAGACAGACGTCCAGCACGTGTGTTAAGCACTGGGACAAGCTTTATGCCAAAACAGTCATGGTGGGAGACATAATATTGGGCAGAGAGGGCATAGGAAGGGAGCTGGTGACATGCCAACAACCCATGACACAGTAGAGCCTAACCCATGCCACAGATGGTATTGGGGCATGAAGAGAACTAAGTAAATAATCTAAGTATTTTTACTCTCAGGGCTTTTTACACAAATTGTACCTAGTTGTCAAAGCACAAACCTAAAAAACTTCTGAAAGAAAACACAAGCACAAAACATAAGCTTCCCTGTCTATGTTTGGACATGAAAACACAAATAGCAGTAGGACTAGAAACGAAGAAGCCACAATGTGGCTAATATTATGCTGTTTGAAAGCAAACAAACAGAACAACACAGCATGTATTAGTCATGTTTCCCTGCACCAAGAGCTTTCCCTCAACTGTGCTGTTTAATCCAAAACCCTCTCACTACCGCTATAATAGAAATAAATAGGAGCCTACTGCTTTCACTTTATTTCTTCTCATGTTTATGCAGACATTCTCCTTGCCAGCCTCCACGATGCTTTCTGGGTGGACAGGCACAGAGGCACTTGCCTAAAACCCCCTCTGGCAGGCAAGCCAAGAGAGAGGCTTCCAGACCCGGGATAGTTGTGCACAAACAGCCAGGCTAAGCCAGTCACTGCCAGCTGTCTCCTGGGGCTTCCCTGCAGCTCCCAGGGGTCCTCCAAGAGAGCCTGACTGAGGGGCTGCCATTGCACAACCTGAGCAGAAGCCATGGCAAAAGCTTCAGCTCATAGGCTGGCCCATCCCTCCTGAAACATCCACCTTGAGGGCTGATGACCAGCAGGGAATCCCCCATACAACTTGTTTTCCCTGCACTGCATCTTTCCAGATTTTGGGGGGGTCCCCCCTGCTCAGCAGCACTCTCTTCCACCATGGAAAGAAATGCCCCATTGCGCATGCAACTGCTCTTCTAAGCAGTTGTTAGAGGCAGAAATCAGTCAGTCTGCTTTCAGGCACATGGATGTGAACGTGAAAGGAACTGGTCATGATCAGAAAAGTCACCAGGAAAACAGTCTGTGTCATCCCTGCTTGGTGCATGCAGAAAGGCTGTGCACAGTGGCCCCAAATGCATGTGGTCCCTACCTGCAAATGCCAAGGAAAGGAGAGAATGGTCTGAGTTGATATGCAGAGAGGTGGTAGGATGCAAAAGGACATATTTACAGAGTGAGTTACAGCCTAGTATAAACCACAGTGTCCTGGGGCAGCAGCTGCATGGAAAACTCAGCTTCCTGGCTCCACCTTACCTAAGGCCCCTTGGCAGATGTCAGTGCGAGTGGCTCCACCTGCTATGAACTGGGGGCTGGAACACAGCTCCTGGGAACAAAACAGGCCTCGCGTTACACATAGCCACAGGTAAGGGAGGCAACAAGGCCCCACCTGCAGCAAATTACACAAGCCATTGACCACAGCAGGCGAACACCACAGAGATGGAGCAGGTCAGGAATGAGAGTGCGGGCACCTGGCACACCAAGCACAGTGAGAGAGCGGGAGCTGGTGACCAAAGCTTGTGGGCAGCCATCTCACTTCACAGAATGTGCCACGGCGCCCACTGCATTTTCACCCACGTGCAGACATCACTCCGCTATTACCTCCCCGCCACTGACTATGTCAAAGTCTTCCAGCAGCGCCTAGGCACTAGGCACCCCGGAGTCCACCTGACCCCACGGCTCCTGTGGCTGGCTGGGCGGCTTCGGCAGGAAACCACACGGTGGTCAGCTCAGCTCTCTGCTGCTAAGGGAAAGAGTTAACCCAGAGTGATAGTCCAGAACGCTGCCCAGGGCAAGTGGTTTGTCCACACGGAGAGTTCAGGATAGAGAGGGAAACGGCTTTGTTTGTTTTCCAGACAGAGCACGTCACCCTGCCAGCCCGTATCCGCGTCAAAGGGAGGCCTCCGATGCTGTGAGCATCCGCACCTTCACAATCCCGGGATTGTGCAGCCCGGGGAGGCTGCGGGAGCGGGTCTGAGCCCGGGACTGCCGGCATCGCCCCGACCCACCGCCCCCGCACAATTAAACCGAATTTACGGGGTAGGGGAAGGAAGAAAAGTCGGGTGATAGGGCGGTGCCAAGGAATGATGCTCTCGGGATCCCCCCCACCCTCCGCCGCCCTACCGTGGGTCTGCGCCAGACGACGCCCTGAGTCTTGGCGGAGCGGGGTCCCAGCTCCCGGTAGCCGAGGGCGGCGGGGCCGGCGGGGAAGGAGGGGTCCTGGAAGAGCCGCCCCTCCTCCAGGCACTCGCGGCGCAGCGCCCCGAAGCGCTGGCCCAGGTAGGGCACGGCCTGGCTGTGCCGCCCCGCGCCCGCCGCCGCCGCCCGCTCCTTCGCCACGGCCTCCGCCATCCCCGCCATCGCCCCAGCACTGCCACCGCCACCGCCCCGCCCCGGCACGGCCCAGCCCAACCCCGCCCGGCTCGCTCTGTCATCCCCCCACCTCCAGCGGGGGCCACGCCAGTCCTCACGGCATCCCCCGCTTTGCTAGAGTCCCTCCACACCAGGAGTCACTGACGAAGAACCTTCCTCTGCCGCTCTCCAGCTCCCTGGAGCCGCAGAGAACATCCCGGCCACGCAGCTGGGCGCCTCATCAGCTCCGCACCTGCGCCAGCCCTGGCTCCCGCACTGCCACATGGACTCATCCATTAAAAAACACCGATATTTCCCGTGTAAAAACTAGAGCGAGCCCTCTCCAAATCTGCACGTTTAGAAAAAGACTAAGGGGAAAACCCTAATATGACTATGGTACATATATACCCCGTATTGTCACCCTGTTACAACCTTGAACACTGCACACAACAGTGATGGCTTACAGCTTGATTTGCTGATGGTAACCAAACCACGTGTTGCTGTCACTGCCGGCGTGGAACAATCTACACCCCCTGCCCAGCCCGAACCGCACGCAAAGAGTTCCCCCACAACACGCACCCCCGCCATACACTGCGGGGAAAAGGAGTGTCTCTGTTTTGGCAGAGAGCTGCTGCCAAGAACGACTGAAATGCTGCTGCTGGCACCCGCATAGTACAGCAGCCCTCCAAGGGAGAATTCAAACCATTTGTTTCATATTTTAGGGCTGACTCAGAACGTACTGGGCACCATGCAGAGGCTGAGAGCCCTTTGTGCTGCACCCACTGCCCGTGCTGGCTGCCCAGCAGCCTTGGAAGGACTTTCTGCATGTTGTATCCCAAGCGCTGGATGCACAAAACTAGTGGTTTGGATACATCCTATCCGGGGGGAAAAAAAAAAAAAAGAACATTATTGTTTGAAAAATGCTCAAAGAATCATAAATTACCAAGCTGTACCATTTGCTGAGATGTGGTGGGAAGTTTTCCTTGAAAATTATAAATCAGAAGCTTTCTTCATGGCTGATACACTGTGCTCCAATGCACTGTGAAACACTGTTTGCTTGGTAGTTTTCGACTTCAATCACTTATGATTCCTCTTCTTAGGCTCAACATGGGTCCTACTTGCACAATTCATGGGAAGCCATTGCCATTAAACAAGAAAAAAAGCTAAGCACTGTTCATCCAATTCCCGGTGTAGCAGAGGAGGCCCCCAAAAATCTTTTTGAAGTTAGATACGAGTGGTGAGAGCAGCACCAGCTATGTCTGTGTAGATCATGGCCGTGCAAGGAAGCAGCCCTGATATCATCTGTTTGTCCAAACCTGGCCAGGCACAGACAAACTGTGCTTTGAAGGTGTCTCCTCTTCCTCGTGGGTCAGAAGGGCTCTCTGAATAAAGAGGGTAATGGTATTTTTAGCAGCATTTTGAGGCACGTGGCAAATCAATAACACATGGAGAACTGGAATCAGATCAATTAATGTTATGTGCTGTAAGTGCTTTCTGAGTGGAGCTGGGACATGCTGTGTGCACCCAGTTACCAGTGCATCATTAGCCAAGGTGGTCTCCAGCATGGCTGTGCTGAGGCTCAACCAGGACACAGTATGACACTGGAGGATGGTTTCACTCAACTGTTTGTATTCATTAGGCACTGCTGAATTATCTCACAGGCAAGGCTTTCTACTGAGCCAGGAGACTGGAAGATAACAGTACCTCAGCGTGCAGGAGTGTAACTCACGATGAGCGTTGTATCCCAACATCCCAGACAGATCTGGGAGCCGTAGAGCTGCTCAAAAAGCGTTTATTTGGCTCCACGCAGTGGTTCAAATCTGTACGGCTGCCACAGGTCAGACTTCTCTGGTTTTTCAAGAGTCAGGGGAAAAGGAAAACAGCATCAGTTTAAAGCAATGACCCACAAAACCAGTTTTGGTTTGTGAACTCCTCTACTCTAGCCGTTTTCCAGCAGATGTGGAAGTTTAAGCTGGGTTGAAGTTTGTAATATAATTACTTTGCTTTTCTTAGTCATCTCCCCTGCGTCCCATAGATGATATTCACAGACCACTCTGGGGTCTGCTGGCTGCATGTCAACAGCCTCTGCTTGGACAACAATCAAGAAGATCAAGTGTGTACAAACATGTTATGTGGTCGCTCCGTTCAGTCAGAGTTACCAGAGTTTTCTTAGAGTCTCTGTGGTGCAATGGGACTTGAGACTGAGCCAAACAGAAAAGGAGATGAACAGATGGCAACAAAGTCAGGAAGAAATTGAACCAGCAAGGATTCAATTAGGCAGTGGGAGAGGTACCTGGGAATGCAGGAAAGAGGTATATGTGACACCATGGCTTGTTAGACTGATCCCAAACATATAGGGACCATAGTGTCCCACATAGTTTAATGACAGTCAAGGAAATGTTGGTGTGATACAGAAATTCTCTTACTATATGGGAAGTTGGCTGCCCCAGCAGGCATCTGAACAGCTTACCCAAAGTTAAATCTTTGGGTTAAAATCTTGGGTTACTCTGCAGTTAAATCAACGAGTCATGTACTTCCAGCCCAGTAGCAGATGTGGATGACTCCACAGTTAGAGGGAGGGAAGTTCTTTTGAGCACTACAGGAGCCAGTTCCTTGATCTTTTACATACTTACACAGTATGCCCATTTTCTTTAAAGAAAGAGGTGATTTCCATTTGACTGTGAGACCAGTGTAATGCTCTGAGGTAAAATAGCAGTCCCAAGAGTAGTTACCCACTCCTGTCTCCCTAAAACCAGGCAACTTCAGAAGGAAATAGAAATCTGACTTTTTCTTAATCTCCCTGCACACCTGCAGCTCTTCAAAGAAGTCACCAACTCTCACATTTCACAAGTGAAGTGGTTTCAGCTGTTACTGCAGCAGCTCATGCTGGTGCCTGATAAGGAGCATCCAGCTGGCACTTGCAGCATGGATTTTCAGGAAGGATGGGCTTCTACTTCCCTGTGTGTCCACACTCAGCAGTTGTGAGTAACTCAGAGCTGCTCTGCCTTGCAGTATCCCTCCTCCCTCCTGCTCATCTGCCCTTCACTGTACTCAAATATCTGGGAACAAGGGGAAGCAACTTGCCAACAGCTCAGGAAGGAAGAAATGGGCCATGTACCTGCAGGGCTTCTGTTCTTCTTTGCAGGAACTGCCCTGTCCTCACTAGGATGAGGATGGTTTCCCAGGCTTGCAGTAGCAGTGGTGATGTTTCACAAGGAAGGGAATTGCTTTCCTGTCTGGATCTGGGATCTGGAGAGGTATTGATCTTTCCTCAACATCACAAGACTGGCTGCAGCCCCAGCTAACACAGAGTGAGGTGTCAGAAAGACCTGGATTGTCCTGAAAAGCGCATCTGTCTTTTCGAGCTCCTCACAGTGCTGAACCATCACTCCTGGATCAGCTCAGTTGTGTTGTGGAGCTTCACACTGGCATGCAGGCATTACTGCTGTAGTATGTCATGTTCCTCCTCTTCAGGCACCAACAATTTTATGTCATGTATAAAACAATCAGGCAGGATCACAGCTAATTTCAGATGTGTTTCCCTCTAGGGAACCCACGAGGCTTCAGCCTATAGCAAGCTAAACTCTAAACCAATAATCTTATAGACAACATTTAGGACCTTTCACAGCTCCCACTAGTTTGTCTATTAATAATCACTCTGTTTTCACAGTAATAGGATGGGTAGGAGCCCATACATCTAGAATAGAAGGCAAGCTCTCTAAATCAAACTAATCCATTTTCATGCTGCAGGGTCTACAATACAGCTAAACAGCTTTAATCCTCATTAGCAAAGTGCTGCAGTACAGGAGAGTCATTGCAGTCCTCTCTAAAGCACTATATCAGAAATATATCTAGAACTGCTACATAATTGGCAGTTATTTTCTTCTAAAAATTTCCACTTTCCTCTATAAAGATACAAGAACAGTCTTGACTGCATGGAATTTGCAGACTCTTCTTTGAAACCTAGATTATGCATTTTCCTGGTTTATTTTGTTCTTCCCTATTTTTCTCACCCTCTTGCTATTATCAAGAAAGAGAGAGAAGGGAAGGAAAGCAGCAAATCCTAAAAGCAAGAAAAATCAGATTAATTGTTACAGCTATTTTTTTTTCTGGTTCCTGTTTCCCTGGGGGTTAATGTCACTTCATAGCAATTTTGGATAGTCATGGGGAACCTGAAAGCTTTTCCCTCTATACTGTATCTACAGCTGTTGCTGTAGTCAATTATACAGTCATCATCTTTTCCTCTTCTTTATATCCTCTAGATGGTGCTTGTGTATCACTTTCTACACAAAATAACTCGTGCTGTTAATCAAGGTTGGAAAATGGATTTGAGTTGCTGTACTACAGATCACTAGGAGCAGAGGGTTGTGGTGGACACAGTGGGTGGTTATCTGGTCCAAGCCTCCCCAGAGAAAATGTCTGTCCTCAGCCACTTTCCAAATGTGAGGTACAGGACAGAAGAACTCCTATGGCACATTTACTGAAATTTATGATTAAAGACTGATTGTATTTCATAGAGTCATAGAATGGTTTGGGTTGGAAGAAACCTTAAAGGTCATCTTGTTCCAGCTCCTGGGCTGTGGGCAGGGACACATTTCGCTAGACCAGGTTGCTCAAAGGCCGATCCGACCTGGCCTTGAACACTGCCAGGGATGGGGCATCCATGTCTTCTTTGGGCAACCTGTGCCAGGGCCTCACCACCCTCACAGGGAAGAATTTTTAACTAATATTTAATCTAAACCTCCTCTCTGTCACTTTAAAAC